CCTTTAGAAACAATGATGTTACCAGCTCCTTGTTGAGAAAGATAATGTAGCTCTTGAGCAATTAAGCTATTTAGTTGATAAAATTGCGGGGCAGCGCTAAAAAGTTTGTTCCTGAATGTCTGAGTGCGGCCACAATGTGATCTGTGTGTGTGACTGAGCGTGTGTGTGCGTTTGATACAGAAGACAGCGCATTAGTTTAGAACTCTTCTAATTGTTATTTTTTAAACGTAGAGAATGTGTTAATTTGTGCAATGATAACCTACCAGCAATGTAAATATAATATTTTTTGATATATTAGAATGAGTACATTACAATATAAATTTATTAGAACGAGTACATTATTATTTATGGGCTTAAAAACCAGATGCAAACAATCAGAATATTGTACCTGATGGGGAGTGCCCATGTAAACATGAAACATATGCCATTACCTATATTGTACTGTGGTACAGTTATGGAGGCCCTTCATAATGCAGAGGTCAACTGCCTGCTCTGCCAATAGTTAGAAATGGCACTATAGTATTTATAGTGTTTAATAAACAGCTGTTTTACTAAATTCTGCTGAGGTGAAATTCAGTGCAGTCCTGTATCGTGATACATATCGTATCGTGGCCTCTGTATTGTGATACGTATTATATCGTGACTTTGCTGGTGATACACAGCCCTAGTAAATGTAATTTTCTAATGTAAGTTAAGAGTGAGGATTAAGATCAGTTTTTACTACAGTACTTCATGCAGTTTTTTTAGGCATGAAATTTTATATGGAATATAATGGTGCATATTATGGTTTATAAAAAATATAAATTATTTTGATAATGTGCTCTAAATGCTACAAATGGAGTGAAATGAAAATGAATGAATACAAATGAGGTACTTAATCTCAATTTATTATAATAACTTTTATTTTGAACTTGATTGAAGCGAAAGATAAGATTCTTCATAACAAATGAGTAAGTCTGGCATCAGCGCCAAAATGGCTTCTAACAGGGTTGGAGCGGTATGACAAAAATCTTATCATAGGATGAGTAATTATATATCACAGTAATGGTATATCATTATGTAGTTATTTTTTTCTGGACATTGAGCTTAATGTTACATAACCATTTAGTCATTTTTATATATTCATGTATATATATTTTTTTCTAGTTATATATTGACTTAAATACTTTAATGAAAGGGTTGGGTGTAAACCAAAAGTTGTAGCTGAGATTAATAATTATGTCTTTAAGTCTGGTGCCAGAACAGATACTACAAGGCAAATCTCAACAGACTAATTGTTTATATCGTTGTAAACTGTCCTATTGCTCAACTCTAAACTGCTCAGTGTAGACTGTAAGGCTATTATAAACATTAACATTATGAATTTCTGAATAGCTGCTTTGAAGTAATGTGTATTGTGAATGTGATATACAAATAAAAACTTATGTTGTAAATGAAGCCTTTAGGGATGCTCATATTGACAGTTTATCCGTTAACCGAAAGTAAACATTTTGACTGATTGGTTTAAAAGGTTTTTTTTAAAAATATTTTTAAAAATATAAGTATTTTTTTTAGATTTTGCTGCACGGTGAAAGAAAAGTATACTATATCCTACATACTTGTTAACCCATGGGGAAAAATCAGCCCAGGGCAACAGTTAAAAGTAGCCCAGTTCCGTGGAAAAAAAACAGACTTTTCAACACTGCATCTAGGGCTGGGCGATTTTGCAAAAAATTAAAATCTCGATTTTTCCAGAATGTTCGACCGATTCTTTTTTTTTTTTTTTTTACGATTTTTAACTAGTCAACTTAAAAATTTAACTACAACATGATTCAAGTTACTTTTTCTTTATTAACCCTTTAGTTAAAGGGGTCATATGATTCTGGAAGGCCAAATAAAGTGCTTTTGCTTTCGCACTGAATCACACCGCGTCTCCCTGACATGGATTTATCAACACTACTGCTGTTCCTGAAACCATGCCTTCTTTCTTTGCGTGCACATTTGGGCGGCATTATGCTAATATTTCCACATAGTGACCTAGATATGTGGGGGCGTGTTAGAACGAGCCGTTTTAGGTAGGCGTGGCTGACTCTTAACTTTTATAAAGAATATCTCTTTGGATTTGAGACTTTAGTCTTTGCAACTTTACAGATCTTCTTTATGCACCAAGAGCTTGTAACACTCCAAAGAGAGAGGAAAACTTGAAATCGCATCATATGACCCCTTTAAAGAAAATTTTATTCCAAGTGCAGTACACATGAAGTTATCAACATATGATGTAAATGTTAAACAAATCACTTGTTAAATATCTTTGCAGAAAAGATGCAAAAACTACAACTACATATTGTACAAACTTGTCTTATACATATTATGTGTTCAGAAATAATACGAGGAAAATTCATTTAGAAAATCTCAAAAGTCAAGGTAATTCAAATTCAAAATGACTGAAATTATAACACTATAGTAGACTTTTATTAACTATAAATGTTCTTTAAAAACAACAGCAGCTTTCAGCCTGTCACCATGATGCAAACATGAAATATCAGACATACAGTAGTAGATATTTACAGGTTTTTTATTCGATTGCCATTGCGCTGCTTTTCCATTGTTTTTTCTGTGTAAACATGGATGTGTTTGACTGTTGCGCTTGCGTCTCTTGCAGTGTCTCATGCATGAAACGCCATTCTAAAAACACTGCGCTCAAGTTAAAAGAAGTTCACGCCCATCTTCTTGCATGTTTTACCTATTCCACTTCCTGCATCGCATCTTTGTCAACACAAAAGCACATTCTGTGTGAATGGCGCTTAGCGCTATATTTGTGGTGCAATGATAACCTACCAGCAATGTAAATATGATTTTTTTTTATATATTAGAATGAGTACATTACAATATAAATTTATTAGAACTAATACATTATTATTTATTGTGAATTGCAGAGCGCGTCACACGCGAGCGGTTAATCACGTGTTAATGAGGTTGGATCGTTCATTTCTCTTTACTGTTATCACCGGCATATTTTCAAAGTGTCTAATTCTAGCATTTGGTAATATTTCTATTCAAAATTGCGATCCCTCGATTTCTAAAAAATAAAATCGTGGCAAAACAATAAATTCAAATTAATCGAAAAAATCGGGGAAATCGCCCAGCCCTACCTGCATCCAACACAAATTTGACTGATCACGGGTCGAGAGTAAGGAGGGATGACTGACAGACCATGCTGGAGAATTTGCTGCTCAACAGATCCTGAGCTCTTTGACAAATATCTGATCTTGTGTGATGTGCTCCCTTTACACAGAGTGCAGAGCTCTACTCCAGACTATCTGCACAGCACGTCAACATGCTACTTTAAAAAAACAAAAAAAAACTAGACACATTGTGCACTGATGTAGGCCTGATGTTTATTTTTATGTCTGATGGAAAAAAAGACTGCTGGTTCTTTAAGGTGCATAGAAGGATTCAGTGTGTTTTCATTTTGACATCATAATTTAATTAAAGTGAAAAATATTTAGTGTAGGCCTTATTTTATCTTTTTGTTTAGCCCGTGTTATTTTATTCTGTTTTTCTCTGTTCTCAGAAGTGCTGCAGGTGCGTGATAATTTGACGATGTGTGAATCCAGGTTCTGTTACTCTGTTCTGTATGCTGCTGTGTGCACGTTAAAGTAAACCCCTGAAAAAAATGTTGTATTTTTAATGGGTCACACACTTGCCATTGTGTTTTTATTTAATGCTAATTTATTATTATAATCTTATCAGTTAACGGTTAATGTTTGGATAACGAGCAGCGGTTGTCGGTCGGGAAAAATGAGCATCCCTAGAAGCCTTATTTTATAATATGATTTGTTTTTCTTTTGTATTACACTCCTCATTCTTAGCTTTTATTTATTTGTTTTTGTTAACCAGGATAAGATGTTTCACTTCTGGGTGAACACCTTCTTCATCCCTGGACCAGAGGAGAGCTCAGAGAAGGTTGAAAATGGAGGTTTAGTGAAGGAACTGGATGGGAACCAAACCACAGAACATGGAGAGAATGATAAGGATTATCTAATCCTGACTTTAACCAAGAACAACTTGGATAAAGCCAACAAGGATAAAGCCAACAGATACTTCTCTCCAAACTTCAAGGTGTATTAAGCACTTTTGCTCACCGCCTTCCAATTGCTGTTCATTAAGTGTTAAACTGGTGGTAGGCTCATTCAAATGTTCAAAGCTACAAATGTTCAAATGACTAAAATGTGTTTTTTTTTTCCCCATTAGGTGAAGCTGTACTTCACAAAAACAGTGGAGGAACCATCCAACTCAGAGGCCAGCACTTCTACATCTGTAACCCCGGATGTTAGCGATAATGAACCGGACCACTACCGGTATTCGGACACAACAGACTCGGACCCTGAAAATGAACAGTATGATGGAGAACAGATTACTAAAGTTTGAAATATTTTTATGGGAAGAAAAAAGAAACCATATGTAATAGAGTTGTATAAAGGAGAAAACTTGAATATGAACTGAAAGCAAGTACTTTTTTCCACCCCGTTTTTCTTTGTTCTTTTTTTTTTTTTTCCCAAGCAGAATTAGGACACGCGTCACACATATGCCACCAGTTGTAGGGACAAAAATGCTGACCAATTTTTCTTTTGTTCATTCACCCCGCTCCATAAAGTATCAACACTGATGTTCCGTGGAAAACAGCGTCAGTAGCTATTATGTAAATACATGTTCATGCCGTAACACAAGAAAGGAAACCCAGTCAGGATGGGAGATCGTTTATGGGAGAAATTCAGTGGAGATCGTAATTCGCTGCTCCATCAACCTATTGAAACCTAGGCCAGTGCTTTAATCAGCATTCATGCCCCCACGTCTGTCCTTCTCTAGTTTGTCCTACCTACTGTGAAATGCTTCTCATGCTGCTGGAAGGCCGCCACGTGTCAGTCGGGCTCTGTTGTGCGTAGCTAGCCATTTTTCAGTCTGCTTTCATCATTACCACTACTAGAACGGAGGTGGTAATGATTCTACTAAACTACATTACACCTTGGCAGAAAACACAACATATAGCTCCACCATGTATTATTATTATTTTTTTTAATGCAAATATACACAACACAACAGGGAAACCAGTGTTGCAATAATGTTGATCGAAGGTGTGCATGTTATTGGAATCATTTTCCATGTTCCAAATAAATAGTATACAATGTTTTTCTAAAAAAAAAAAAAAACGTTTCTAAAGTCATTTACAATTTGATTGTATTTGGGAAGAAGATATTGCCATCACTCTTTCTTCTGCAGATGGGACTTTAATATATATACAGTCATTCAGTGACACTTCATTTATATAATTCATAAGTTTCCCTTTCAAAATTGGCACTTGTTTAAATCAGCTCTCACAGGATGATTTGTTTTCTGTTTCACTTCCTTTTTTCCCCCCCGTTTTTTTTTGTTCTTTTTTTTTTTTTTCCCAAGCAGAATTAGGACACGCGTCACACATATGCCACCAGTTGTAGGGACAAAAATGCTGACCAATTTTTCTTTTGTTCATTCACCCCGCTCCATAAAGTATCAACACTGATGTTCCGTGGAAAACAGCGTCAGTAGCTATTATGTAAATACATGTTCATGCCGTAACACAAGAAAGGAAACCCAGTCAGGATGGGAGATCGTTTATGGGAGAAATTCAGTGGAGATCGTAATTCGCTGCTCCATCAACCTATTGAAACCTAGGCCAGTGCTTTAATCAGCATTCATGCCCCCACGTCTGTCCTTCTCTAGTTTGTCCTACCTACTGTGAAATGCTTCTCATGCTGCTGGAAGGCCGCCACGTGTCAGTCGGGCTCTGTTGTGCGTAGCTAGCCATTTTTCAGTCTGCTTTCATCATTACCACTACTAGAACGGAGGTGGTAATGATTCTACTAAACTACATTACACCTTGGCAGAAAACACAACATATAGCTCCACCATGTATTTTTTTTTTATTTTTTTTATGCAAATATACACAACACAACAGGGAAACCAGTGTTGCAATAATGTTGATCGAAGGTGTGCATGTTATTGGAATCATTTTCCATGTTCCAAATAAATAGTATACAATGTTTTTCTAAAAAAAAAAAAAAACGTTTCTAAAGTCATTTACAATTTGATTGTATTTGGGAAGAAGATATTGCCATCACTCTTTCTTCTGCAGATGGGACTTTAATATATATACAGTCATTCAGTGACACTTCATTTATATAATTCATAAGTTTCCCTTTCAAAATTGGCACTTGTTTAAATCAGCTCTCACAGGATGATTTGTTTTCTGTTTCACTTCTTTAAAGGTCATGGTTTGAGCTCAAGGTAGCATCAGTCGTAAAATTCTTCAGTATGTTCTGGGATACGGATCAATCTTGCTTGAAGGCTCTGTGGTTCACTACAGCGATCACAGGTCAGATCGGGTTTGATGGTGTACAGCATCTCGTGTAATGCATGTCAACATGGAGAAGCCCTTTTCTGAATGTATCAACCTTGGATGCAAGTTTTGATTAGATTTCAACAGCATTTACATTGTTTTTCTTTCTTCCTGGCTGTGTCAGACATCAGATCTTTGGCTCCCTATAACATGTTTGTAGCCTTATCGTGCATGATATAATGAAATCTGGATCATTTATCCAGCAATGGTGCTTGCTAAACTGTAAGCTCTCAATGTATAGTGCAGTCATTTTGGAGCAAAGAACCTCATGGTGCAAGCATTCAAACGCACTGCGGTGCGTGTCGTAACTGTTAGTCGCACTTTGATGTGCATAATCAATTAGTTTCCAACAATTTGATGTCCCTCACTAGCTAGAGTTCTTTTTTTTTTCTTATTCTTGAACAGGCCTCGTTCCCTTTGGAATGAGCATAGTGCAGCTACAGATTTTACACAGTCTTGTGCTTGCTTCAGAAATATTAAAGCCCTATATATATGAGAATATTTAAATGTATAATTTTCTTTTAAGCATGCCAAATCTTTTTTTAACATCTGGCTGTGGCCAGACCAAAAAAAAAAAAAGATTAAAAAACTTTCTCAGTCTCTTGGGCAAGAATCTTCACTAAGGGTAGTGAGTAAGCTGCCTTTCTCGTACTGTTAACGTTCAGGCTTCACTCTTCTCACCAGCCCACTGCACACACCGTACATCTCGCCTTCCTTTAGAGAAAGAATACGTTTCCCTGACATGAAGAGGAGACTGGGCCTTCCTTTATGAGATTGTACACCAACCAATCCAGGAATAAAAGCAAAAGCCTATCAAGGATTCTCATTTTGTTTACATTTTATCACATCACTGAAAACCTGCCAAAATTAAGCTTAATCGTTTTTGTTTTATTGTTTTTGTGTTCAGAGGAGGAGGCGGGGCCCACGGGAGGTATTCTTTGCCTTACTTGAAGTTGACAATGCTTACTCTTCTACTGCTTTGATACCTACCATTCTGCCCAAGCACTGACTTATTTAAAGCTACTATAATAGAGCAACATATTGTACTAGACATTTGCACTGTTACAGGTTTTTGCAGGGTTTCAGTCAGCGGTCCACAGTGTTTATTTTTGTTTTTATTTTGTCAGGGTTTTTTTTCTGGAAATGCTTTACAGCAATCAATAGTAGTAGAATAGAGGTGAAATGAAAAGCCATTAATATTGTCTCTGTGCATCCCAATAGAATCAAATGTGTTTTTATTGACCGATTTTTTTGTTTTTTGTCAAAGAAAACACAAAATAGAAAAAAAAAAAAAAGTGTTCATTCACATTCATTCACAAGACCCTCTGCAGGTATTGACTCTACCGAAGTGTCACATGATGAACTTAAATTTAAAGAATTCAAATCAAATATTCTGTCATCATTTACTCAACCCTCGTGTCTTTCTAAACCTGTATGATCAGAAAAGAAGATATTTTGGAGAATGTTTCAGCTGTTTTTGTTATTGGTTCCCCTATTCATGGACAACAGAAATAGAAGTAAGTTTGTCATACAGGTTTGGAACGACACTGTAAAAATGATTTTAAATGATCTGAGAATATTTGGCAAGAAAATACTATTTCAGTCTTTATGCTTAATTTTAAATTGAATTCATTGTGTTACATGTTTTGCTAGAGTTAAAATGGTTTCACCACAAGATTTGTTTAGCGCACAAGGGTGAGTAAATGATGAATGTTCATTTTTAGGTGAACTTTTCTTTTAATCCTCAGATCGTCTCTGAGACATGAGACGCATCCCTTGACATTTTGACAATTTAGCCACAGTACCTTTATACGCAGACCCTCAGACATCTTGTACGTGGCACGGGTGTGTGGAGCTCACAGGCAGCATGAAAAATTTATTTTCAGCTTTAATGAAAAACAAAACGTCATCAAAGGTGCCAGTGTATATGTTTCGCATCACACTTTCTTAGCTGATTTGTGCAATATGTTATGATGCCTGTGATTGCCACAAAGTGCCTCTCGTTTATAGTTGAAAAAAAAAATTGCTTTAAAAACTGTGTTAGGACATCATGTCATGCAAGCGGATAGATGGGGTGGTACTGTGCACTAAATCGTCCAGCTAGACTTGCAGCAGGGGGCCCTTTGGACTTCAGCCATGCTCCATTAGAAATCATTCTTCTCCCCAGAGGGTTTTTACGTTCATGTAATGTAAATGCCGTATATTTTAAGAAAACCGCCTTACTCTGTTTCAGCCTGTTCAGATACTATCGTGCTGTGCAACAGTTGCTCTGTGTGTAATGCCTATGCACTGAGAATACACAAACCAACCATGTATGAAATATTGTACAGGTAATCATGTTGCTCATACAAATCACATGTTTGTTTGTAATCGTATGTGTAAACTGCCCTTTATCTTAGTGTTATAAACTCCACATACATCCAATAAAGTCTCAATCTTGTCAGTTTGTTGTTTTTGACAGCATTCGATATTTGTGAATCTGAATTCGTAGTTGCATGGCATTTAAAAAATTTTTCCCCCAGCATTTGTTGATTACCGCAAAAAATTATTTTGACTCCCTCATTCTCAAGGTTACGAGAAGCAAAAATCAAGGTTAGGTTGAACTTACAATGTATTCTTCAAATTCTTATGTGTATTGTTTTAGTTTTAAAGCTTTTAAGTCCTTTGTTTTTTTTTGTTGTGTCATTACAGTTGTGAAATTGCATTTCACAAGTTTAGTAAGTGATTGTTTCACACTAAAATCATGTTATCATATTGCTTATGTCTTGTGTTTATACTATAGAAACAGTGTTTATTTTTACACTTACAAGTTGGCCCCATTCATTTCCACTGTAAGTGTCTCAATGCAACCCAGATAAAAAATTTTTTAAAGAAGAGTCTAAATTAATCGTGGTCATCAAAAAATGTTTAATAATAACTGTCAATTCAGTAAACGTATTTAACTTGGAATATTCCATCAAGGAGCCCTAAATTGAAGTTGTAATGTGCATATTCATGAACACAAATCATCAGTATTTGAATACTTGTATACTCATTACTGAAATGAAATGATTGTCTCACTCATATGTGACCCTGGACCACAAAACCAGTCATAAGGGTCAATTTTTCGAAATTGAGATCTATACACGATCTGAAAGCTGAGTAAATGAGCTTTCCATTGATGTTTGTTAGGATAGGACAATATTTGGCCGAGATACAACTATTTGAAAATCTGGAATCTGAGGGTGCAAAAAAAAATCAAAATATTGAGAAAATCACCTTTAAAGTTGTCCAAATGAAGTTCTTAGCAATGCATATTACTAATCAAAAATTAAGTTTTAATATATTTACAGTAGGA